GGATAGTCAATCCCGTATAGATCTATACACCAACTCACGCTCTCCCTTCAGGAGACTCTGGTTGCAAAACGTGACACAACAGTAGATTGCCATGCCATGAAGTAGTGGCTCACATTAATGTTATAGTGTTCTAATGTTTGTATAGTATGTTCTAGTGTATTGTATGTTCTCTCTGTCTAGTATGTAGTATGTCCTCTAGTGTATAGTGTGTAGTATGTATTGTTTCTCGTTATAGTAAGTACTGTTTCTCTTTATAGTGAGTATTGTCTCTCGTTATAGTATGTTTGAACTGCCTCATGTATGAACTGACTATTGTATGTTTCATTGTTCTAGAAATAGTATTAGTGACTTCCTAAACTCTACCTATTATAGTTTACTAGAAATGTTGTTTGTATGAATGCACATGTTTGTACACCTTTGTTACCCAAAGGTGTTGAACTGAAAGTAGAACTTTAATATCCATATACATACACATAATATATAACTAAGATTCAAACGACCGTCAGACAAACAACGGAACACCCATATATATATATATATATATATATATATATATATATATATATATATATATATATATATATATATATATATGGGTAAACTGTGTGTAAATGTGGGTAGATAACTAGTGGACGACATTATGTTATTATTTATGTATATTCACTATTCCAACTAATACCTATATATTAACTACTAGACATCTTTCAATATATGCCCTTTATTTCTATCAAATCCCCCACATACATATATTGCCTACCACCACATCTTATACATCTTACTTGATAACCTCCCTTGTTCTTTCATAATACAACTATCATTCCATCAATGCCATGGTGAACCTATAAGGTCCCATCTTTGATGTGGTCATCTTTTAATTTCAATTTGACATCCAGTTAATGCAACTCTTTCATCTGATGATTTGGTTCAAGGAAGATCAAAATACGTGTTGCATGTCACTCGACTTCCTACTCCTCTTCCATAACCTCCCTTGTCCTTTGCTAAGACAATTGTCATGGCATCAGTGCCAAGGTAAACCTGTAAGGTCCCGTCTTTGATCTGGTTATCAGTTGTTTCTGCATAAAGTATGGAAATATTAAAGTAATTACATAAAAATTAAACATGGTTGAAATCAAAATAAATTTTGTAGTCAAAATTACTAGTTTATCTCTAATATGTTCATTTTCAAATTTTCCATCTTGTTTAGCCTCCCTTCAACCACATCATAAAACATGAGGGTTCTTCATATGGTTCAATATCTTTGACTTCAATCTTATAATCATTAAACAGACAATTAATTAATAAAGTTAAAAGAAACATAAATGAGAGTATGTTGCTATAAACAAAAATGAACAATTGATGTTACCATCTTCTCATTCACACGTATGTATCCACCTCTTCCTATCCTATGTTTATAAAAAAAATAAAATAAATAAAATAAATAAATAAATAAATAAAAACTTCTCACATGCTTTTTTTTGTTGCTTTTGACTTCACCTAACCACAATGGAAAATCAAAAATACCATATTTACATGCCAACACAATATTATGAAATGTATGCAGACAGAAAATAATCAAATTTATAGAAATAACTTAATCCTTGTATGCCTCATAGTTTGTATGTGTTACAAAAGCAGCCCAATCTGAGTACTCAATAATTTTTGTATACTTTGTAGGGACTTCATTCGCCATCTTAGGTGTTGTAGGTGTTCCTTTTTCGGGCAATATGTACCTTTCTCGAAGTTTCCTTCTTTAATTATCTAGAATTTGACCAAGATGATGCATTATTGAAAATTTAAATGTATTCTCAAGCTCGAAATATCGCTGCAAAATGTAACATAATGTTGTTAATAGTTAGAAATAATGTAAATGCATATATGAATAATTAAGGACAACGTTAAATAATGTGTTTAATACCATGATTTCACTCCATAGGTCATCTCTTGCCGGTAAATCCACTTACGTACAAGATAGAAATTTTAAACCTATATGCTTACGGATTAGGTCTCGTAAAACACCAGCAAACACTGCTCGGTTTGTCCCTAATATTGTACTCATGTCATCGATTGTGAGAGGGTTCTTTACTCCTTTACCATGCTGATTACGAAACTTATGTAGCTTGGTTATGCCTCTCTTAACTACATTTGTCGCCACTATGTTGTCATTTGCAGCCTCATCTTCAAATTCCTTACTCTTAGTTATAGTCCAGACCCTCGTATGTTGTAGTGTATGCATTTTCCTCCAAAGGTTCCATGATTAGTGATAACAAAGATTAGTAAAAGATAATAAAATTCTCTGGTTAGGGTTTTAGGAAAGGATAGAATATTTGGAATCGGTGTAAAAGGCTTCTGACAAAATCTCGTTTCAGAAGAAATAATAACTAGGTTCATGATCTGCATGGTGTGCTGATTTCAAAATTTTCGTTTAAAAAACTTGAAACTTTGGTTGGCGCCTTCTTATTTGGAGAGTGTTCTTGAAATTTTTTGGTGTAGAAACTGAAGAAATTGAATTTTTTTTATTGCTAACTAATGATACAATAGATTGAGGATCCTAAAATTAGGAATCTCAATCGTGAATTAGTTTAATTAGATAATGTTGACTTCAAAATTTTTGTCCAAATTTTGGCTCCAAGGCATAATTAATATTACTGGTTTTAAATATATTAACATTGTAATATATATATATATATATATATATATATATATATATATATATATATATATATACACATTTAAAAAAATATAAAAAATTTTATGAAATATTTACATTTTATAAAGCTATAATTAATATAAAAATATATAAAAAAAAATGGCAACAAGCGCATTTATGTGTCTTATTAAATATAGATGAAAGTAGTCAACGACAATTTATTAAAGATGATAATGCCTATTGATGACGTATAAGTCAAGGGTCATGTTAAGACCCATTGAAGACATATAGGTCATTAATCATGTAGTAGCTTCCTATAGTGCCATGATATGATCGATGGATGATATCTGGGTCATTGGTCATGTGGTAGTTTCTTATAGCATAATGGTATGACCCATCGATGACATATGGGATTGGTCTCTAGGTAGTTGCTTATATTGTCATGGTATGACACATTGATGACATATGGGTCATTGTTCATGTGGTAGTTTATTATAGTGTCATGGTATGTCCCATAGATAACATATTGGTCACTTGTCATTTGGTAGCTGCTTATAGTGTCACCCTATGACCCATAGATCACATATGGATCATTGGTCATGTAGTAGTTGCTTATAGTGTCAAGGTATGACGTAGGGATGACATATTGGTCATTGGTCATGTGGTAGTTGCTTATAGTGTCATGGTATGACCTATGGATGACATATGGATTATTGTCATGTGATAGTTGCTTATAGTGTCATTGTTTGACCCCATGAATGACATATGGGTCATTGGTCATGTGGTAGTTGCTTATAGTGTCATGGTATGAACCGTGGATGACATATGGATCATTAGTTATGTGGTAGTTGCTTATAGTGTGATGGTTTGGCCCATGGATACCATATGGGTAATTGGTCATGTGGTAGTTTCTTACAGTGTTATTGTATGACCCATGAATGACATATGGGTCAGTGGTCATGTGGTAGGTGCTTATTGTATCGTGGTATGACTTATGGATGACACATGGATCATTGGTCATGTGGTAGTTGCTTATATTGTCACAGTATGACCCATGGATAATAGATGGGTCATTGGTCATTTGGTAGTTGCTTATAGTGTCATGGTTTGACCCATGGATGACATATGGGTCATTGGTCATATGGTAGTTGCTTATAGTGTCATGGTATGACCCACGATTGACATATGGGTTATTGGTCATGTGGTAGTTGTTGATAGTGTCATTGTATGACCCATGGATGACAAATGTGTCTTTGGTCATGTAGCAGTCGCTTATAGTGTCATGGTATGACCCATGGATGACATATGGGTCATTGGTCTTGTTCATTGGATGGTAGTGGCTATTTAATTTGGAGTGTTCAAAATATTTACCAATATAATTGAAAAGGGCATATAAAAAAAACTTTTCATAATGAATTAAATACTTTAAATCCGTCATGGAAAGTTAATCAAAATAAATGAAACATTTTTTTTACTTTAGTTAATTTAAAAACAATATACATATAGAAATTAAATAACAAACAATATAATTAAATTTCTTTTTGGTAATTTGAACCATGTATGTGTGTGTGTGTGTGTGTGTGTGTGTATATATATATATATGTATGTATGTATAATGAAAATCTCATTTCCTATTTATCATCGATTAAGTAACCAAAAATTTAGCATATGTAGTTACACACATAATAAGATCATATCAAAAATAAATTAAAAGTAAATAACATTAATTACAACCCTAAATCGACATCATTGAAGAACCGTGTTTAGGAACTCCTTCTTCATCATGATGTTTTTGGCCAAGATTATCATATAATCTATTAAATGTTGATTCTAGTCTCTCGTGTTTGACTTCATCACACCCATATCATATTCTACATGCAGTATATTGTCTTAGACTTCCTCCTTCGAAAGGGCATCTAGAACTTCGTTGATCTTTGTCTCTTCATTAAAAATTTATTGGAGAAGAGCCTCGATTACTGTCATTCTTGATTCCAAACTTTCTAGGTCTTCTCGAATGATGGCGATGAAATCTTCATTCAAGGTTTTGTTTGAATCAAGATAATCCATTAATTTCATTTACAGAGGTAGCTTTTAATTACTATTAAATTTAGAAAAGATGGTTTACAAAAGGAATTGTTATTATTTCATATATGGGTAAACCATGTGTTAATGTGGGTAGATAACTAGTGGATGGCATTACGTTATTATTTATGTATATTCACTATTCCAACTAATACCCATATATATTAACTACTAGAGATCTTTCAATATATGCCCTTTATTCTTATAAAATCCCCCACATACGCATATTGTCTACCACCACATCTTATACATCTTACTTTCTTCCAAACTAATGGCTTCTTCATCCAATGCTAACAATTCTTCGGATATTCTGTCTGAAGTAAAGAAGCTTGCTCTCACCAAAAGTATCGATGAGGTGTACTTATGTATTCACGTGAATGGTATCAAAGCAAGGCTTGATACTTCCATATAGAATCAAGAGGAGAAGAAAAGGAAGATCGCGGTAAATAACTTGATTTACAAAGATGTTGTATACAAATATCTTGATGATGAGATCAAGGCGGAAAAACAAAATATCTTGAAGACGTTTTTGCTATGATTAAAATGATAAATAAGAAATGTAATAAGCTTAGTAAATAGATTAGATCTTGATTTTTATTTGATATTTTGTCATTTTAGTATTTAGACTTTGGATTAGATGAGGATGACGACCTAAAGAGTTTCTGCAACATGTGTAATTGGCAAGTAGAGTGTGGTAAACTTTGTAGGATAATTAGGTATTTGGCTGATCATCATGAATCATCAGAAGATAGTTTATAATACTCTTTGTATTGTACATATATTTCTAAGTGGATGCATATATATCTTTTAGAAGACATCAAGAAATATGGTTTAAATTATTAAGTATTATTGAATTTTAATAGTGTTTACATTAGTTTAGTTAAATTTAATTGGTGTGTTATAATTATCATTTTAGTCATACATGTTAATTTAGTGTAGTTTACTTTATTGACAATGGGTATATTTTGTATACAGTTTTATACACTACAAGAAAACTGGCCTTTAATGACGCGCAAACAATGACACTCGCTGATAGACGACGCGTATTTGTAAGTGCCCTAAAAGATAATGTCAATTTTGCAAAATTTGAAGGATAGAGGGCACGCATTTGTGCGCGCCCTAAAATTAGTGTCAGAAAAGAAAAAAAAAAAGAAATGCGGAGGGCGCCTTTCATAAAATGTGTGTCGTGTAAATGTGTCGCTTTATAATTTTTAAGTGAAACACGCGTTTTAGGCGGGAAATGAAATCGACGAAAATTTCCCCCGCCTATTGAATCCCAAAAATTAATCCCCCCGCCTCTTCAACTTAGCAAGAAAAAGCCCCAGGTCCCTTATCTTCATCTTCAGTATCATCAAACATCTCGTTCACCCTCTACATTATTTCTATCATTCTTCCCTCTCCTCACTGATCAATACCCAAAAAACCCTAATATCATAACCACTCCTATTTTCTTGCACAACAAAATCCTAAAACATCACCAAATACTAAATTCCACAAAATTGTTGTGACCATTTTAGCTAGGGCTTTTTTCAAGAACGAAAACACTCTCGCATCTCTCTTAGCTCTGAAACATTGGACGATTCACCTTGCTTCGCCTTTGGTCACTTCTCCTCCGGCGACGTCAGGCCTTCCTCGTTACAAATCGACCAACGAGTGGTGAAGCTTGGCTGCCAAGCTGTGACCTTACGCTGAGGTAGAAGACTTCACGGTAGGTTTTCCTCTGGCGTTTCCCCCAAACCTAATTTCCAGTCTTTCATCCCCTTTTACTCCACCGATCGTTCGATTGGCAATGATTCTTAACTCTTACGACCCTATGACCCTCTTCTTCCTCATGTCGTATTCTATCCTATCGTTCTTGCTTTTCATCTCCTTCTCACTATAAATAATTGCAGGTTCTATCTAAGAAATCAATTTTAGGGGGTATTAGGGTTGGAATTTTCTAATTTAATGGTTTGTTGTTTTCAAAATTAGGATTAATCGATGCTGGTGGTTTGGTCGCACGCCTTCTTCACTTTGGGATAGAGATCCTCTCCCATTGTTTCTGCTAAGGTACATTTCATCGATTTCTCGATCATATGTCTACTTCAATATCTCACACCTTTGTGTCTCCGTGTTTGCACTTGCAGGTAAACAAAGGGTCTGTTCCCCCATCGTTCACACTTAAAGAACAAGATTGTACAGTCCGATAAAAACCCCTCTCTTCCAATTTCTACGTGAATGTCGGTATTCGTATCCCACTCTGCAATAACTTCTACTCGCACTCTCTGTTCTTCTTTGAGGAGTTTCAGTTTCGTTTGCTTTCTCTCTATCTAGTTCGTTCATCGTCCTGGCTTTATCATCGCTTCTAACATCTCGGATTTCATGCCGCGTAACCAGGTATTTCATCAATAACACCTCTATTTACTTAACTTTTTGTTACTAATTGGTTTTATTTTTTATATTCGAGGGTGGGCAAGGGCTTATGAGAAAACTTATTGGGCTTTAATCGATTAATCATATATGAGAAGTATGTTTCATATTGTTTTTACTTGATGATTGGGCTATTGTCTGTACAATGTGATGTAATTTGGCTTCATCGCTACTAATAATTGGCTAAGTTTGATTTTGTCCAGAAAAGAGGTGGTCGACCAGACCAGAGGTGGATTCAGAAGCCAAGCAGTAGAAAAATAGATGAAACGTTTGATGCTGCAGAAGTTAAGTCTGCAGCTTCTATTGAGGTTATCACAATTGGAGTTAATAGGCTTGTTATTGCTGAAAACAGTGCACGATCCTCTGTTCTTGTGCCACAGTTTGGGGGTATCACCGTGAATGATGTAGCAGTAGCAGCTCCTCATGGTCAAAGTAATGGACAGTCGTCCCATGTTTCAGTTGGATGTTCTCTAGTAATAAATTCCAACTCTTTACATGGTAAAAAATGCGTCTACCAACCAAAGTCTTATGGGATAGTTTCTGGTGATGCTGCAAAAGAAACTACCAGACAGGAAACTACAGCTCAAACTGCTGCTTTGAGCCGTTTGTTCAACAAAGATTTGTTGGAGAATTTTAATGTAGACAACTCGACTTACTCCACTACCAAAATCAGAGCAACATTCATCCCAAATTTGAAAATGAGAAGTCTGATAGAGAGGTAAATAAATTCCCTTGTTCATTTCATTATTGTTATGATGTTTGGGGGTCTATAAACATTACCTCTTTGTATTTCTTGTATTTCATTGATGTCCCTGTAATCTCCGATGTTCCTTTATCATACTTGTATGGCTGATAATGCTCATTGGTATCTTCTGGTTGACTTCCATGGTGTTATTAGGTTTCACTCAAACACTTTGGATCTCTTTTTATGTATGCTGGCCATGAGGGTGGAGCCTATGCAAAGAAAAGCTTTGGGAATGTGTATGTTAAGACCCCCTTTCTCTTTTTTCTTGTTTTTATATTAATTGCATCTTCAATCCAATTACTACTCTTTGTATGTCATGTAGTTATACTGCAGTTGGAGTTTTTGTTCTTGGAAGAATATTTCTTTGATTACAGGTATAATTTATAATATGAATATCATATTTATTTTATATAATAAACCTTTATTCTTTAATTTCTTATAAATTTTTTGTATTGCATAAACTTCATCCATGATCACCGTTCAGAACCTCAATCAAGAAACCTTCAAGATGGATTGAGTGTGCAATCTGCTGGCATTTTTTCAAGTTCTAGAGAAGCTAATTTAGAGTATGATAACTATGCAACTCCAACTGCAACTGCAACTTCTACATACCTGAACAATGACCCATATGGATATGGAAACATAGGATATGCAGGTTACTCTAGTAGTAGCTATCAGCAACAACAGCCAAATCAATCATACCCTCAACAGGTTGTGTTCATCAATATCCAAACTACACTATAGATTCTAATCTTGCTTACACTGCTCAAAATAATACTCCTCTAGCATCTGTACAATATCAACAAGATTATAATAAACAAAACTTTAAAAATATTAAAAAAAAGATTATTCAAACAAAATGTTAAAAAAAATAAACGAATAAAAGGTCAAAAAGAAAATATTATAAATAATTTATAATATTTTATATAACATAATTTTTATAAATAGTCTTATTAAATAGATTTTAAAATAGTAATAACCTATATATTATTCTACGAATTAGTTGATTGAAGGCATATGCAAAGTTAATTTAACTACCATTAACAAAGTGTTTGGAAGCGTTGTAATAATAATTTTCTGGTAGTTAACAAAACTGATTGAAATTAATCATTTTGTGACGTTTTAGCCTCAAACTAATCATATTTGAAGCAACAACTAAAATTTTGTAGTAAAAATGTTGATTATTGAAAATAAACTATAACATCCCTAATAAAGGTAACAATCTAAACATAATTTACATGTGCTCCTGGGACAGAAAACGTATATTCTACAAGTGCACCCAATCTGGTGTCTTCCTGTTACTTTCCCTGTTGTTGACAATGGTTATTCTACTTCAAATTTAATCTCGTTTTAGCTTCTATTGCTAAGAATTAGATGCCTATATCTTGTTTCATATACTTCCTTGTTGACATCTGGTTCTTATTTCTGATACGTGTTGACGTAGGTTAGTGACTCTTATAAGCAGGCTCTGATGAACGGCCCGAAGCTTATTGAGCGAGAAATGGAATGGTTTAAGATTTGTGAAAAGGAGACAAAGAAAAAGCTTTCTCCAAAGAAGGCCTAGGACAACAACCTAAAACGGTATCTATTACTTTGCTTTTTTGCATATGATACATGGAAATAACCTTCAGTCACTGTATAGTTGAATAACACACATACATGGATTGTAACATAAAATCTTGTAAATTAACAGGAAGAAATGATTGTGAATCTAGATTGTAACATAAAATCTTGTAAATTAACTTTCTTTTTTTTGTTTCTTGGTTTTGGGTTTTAGTTGAATAACACACATAACTAGAAGCACTTGCAAACTTGTCTTGTGAAAACTGATGATTGCAGTAACTTATCAAAAAGATTCAAGGTTTGTATTTGATTGGTTTAACTTTATGGATTTGTTTCAAGAATGTGATGATAATTTTTTTTTTTTGTTAATTTTGCAGACTCTTAAACAATATGAATTGGCAAAATTAACTCCCATTGAAGCCGGTTGTTGCAGACCACCATCTGTGTATGTTGGCCAAAATTCCAAATACAACACCAAATTATTAATAAAAACAGTCAAAAGGGTCATCCAACTCTCCATTTCGTGTTAGTTCCACCAAATCCGGCGAAAATGACAAAAATACCCCTGAACTTTTGATCAGTTCCACAACATTTTGATCAGAAATCTGTTCAAAATGGTCAAAATGATGAAAATACCCCTGAAATTTAGATTAACTTTACTTGGTTGTTTTTACCAATTTGAAATCGAGGTGAAGTGTGTAATGGTCATTTTACCATTTTTCAATGGCATTTTGTCTAAAATCCATCGAAAATGGCAAAAATGACGAACATACCCCTGAACTTTAGATTAACTTTACTTGATGATTTTTACAATTTGAAATCAAACTACAGGCATAAGGGTTATTTTTACCATTTTCCAGCACCATTGTCAGAAATCTGTCAAAAATGACAAAGATAGCCTTGATATTCATTTTAATTTCACTTGATCAAATTGAAGGGCGTAATGGTCATTTTACAATGCACCTGCCATTTTGGTCAGATTTGGTGAGAATAGATACAATTTTGGAAGTTTAATGAAACCCCCTTGACACTTTCCATAAAAATTATAGATTATATTCTTTGAAAAATTTGTAGATTGGTAGGTTTAAAAGTAGAATGAAAATGACAACTGATTTTGTGTTGTGTTTATAGGGTTGATGAAAGCGAATAGCTTTAGAGTTAGAAGAGAAAAAGAAAGCTCAAGCCGAAAGAGATAAGATGCTGCAAATGCAAGTGTTGCATTCTTCATTTCAATTGTTAGTATGAAACACAGAGTAGATGGGCCAATGTACAACTTCTTATCCATATAACATCTGTTTGGAGCATTAGTCTTAAAGAATTATAAAAGGCAAGATGCAACTTTACTTAGTTGGAATTTGATGTAGAGAGTAGATTAGATGCAAATTTAGATATTGTAAAAAATAGAATTGTATGACATTAAATTTTATGCAATGGATTGTATTTTTTGTATATGATATTTTATTTCTATTATGAGACATTAAATGCAAATGTAATTTAATAATTAATAAATATATAAATATTTTTTTTAGAACATTTAAAATTATGATACGCAAAAATGTGTGTCATCTTCATTTATGACATGGCCTTTCTTGACAGGGGCTTCCTTGATACGCATTGCGTGTCATAAACACGCGCGTCGTAAGGTTACGACACGCAAATGCGTGTCGTCTTCCATTATGACAGGGCCTTCCTTGATACGCATTGCGTGTCATAACCGCGCGTTGTAAATGCACGTCGTAAATGCGCGTCATAAATGCGCGTCGTCTCTCTTTATGACAGGGCCTTCCTTGACACGCATTTGCGCGTCGTCTGAGCGTTTTACGACGCGCAATGAGCGTCGTAAAAGGTCTTTTTTCTAGTAGTGATATTATTTAGGTTGTTATTTTGTTATAATAAATTTTCTATGTTTTTTATGACCTATAATTATGTATTAAATTTAGTTAATAATTTCATGTATGTTGCTATATTTTTCGTTTTCAAATATCGAATGATAGCTACCGATACTTTGACTTAGTATTTATCCACTGCATCAAAATCACAACCAAGGGTTGTTGAAGGTTCCCTCATACACTCTTTCTTTGAAATTTTTTTATGTGATTCTCAATATCAGTTAAAACTGTCTACAAATATTTGAAATCCATACAACCACTTTGAAATAACAAGTGACTAATAAAGATCATTTGGATACACATTTATGATATGGTGTGGTTATTCGAAATCAATACAGTAAGTCAGTAAATTTGACATAACATGTGACTAAACAAATACTAAAGATTACAAATATATTGTCACTTGATTTACAAACAAGAACACTCAATGTGAGCAATCTCAAGCTTAATGATTAACATTTTTTCATCGTCGTTACTCTAAATAATAGTTATGTGAATACTTCGCCATGTGACTAATAAAAATCATCCGATACACATTTGGGAATTGAAATCATACAACCACTTTGAAATAACAAGTGACTATACACATAAACGGTAAGCTAGCTATAACGCACACTCAACTTCAGTAACACTTATAGTTATGAGACCATATGTACCGAGTTTTTACTACACTAAAATCATGTTAGACAAACTCCAATTTATTTGTTAGCGACATATATATTTACATCACGTGACGATTTATGATATTTGTACACATTTTTATACTCCAGTATATTTGTCACTTTTTTATGTATAGAGTAACTAATGCGTTGAACTCAATCATCTATAGTCGCGCCTCCCAATTAATAAGTGGCTTAACTTTCCGCTAAAATATTTTAGTTCACTTCAACAACTTAAAGTATCATATGAGTGACTGTCCGTTTTCGGCGTCGAGTGACTAAAGCCTGTTTTTGTAGTAGTGAGTGTAGCACCCGAAATTTTATCAAGAAAAAATATGACTTTGGTTGTACAAATATCATGACTCGTATTCATAATAAACATATGGTTTTACAAAATCCTTCACAATTTATCAGAGTTCATTGGTGTTAGCAAATATAGACTTTGCACATAATCTGCAAGCTCAAAGATTTAATCCCAATAGTTGGCCTAATATCCCCTTAGAGAGTCTTTTCCAATGTTTCCCAAAGAAAAACCATTAACAGTGTTTCCCGAAGGAAGCCTATAACAAAGTTTCCAAAAGAATCACATATCAATATTACCGAAGGAATTATATATTCAGAATTCTCCAAGGAATATTTAACGATGTTTCTCCATAGGAATCATATATCCACATACATATTGAATATTCTCGAAGGAATATTTAACGATGTTTCTCCATAGGAAACTTTTCTCAAAACCCTACTCCCGGGAACCCTTTAACAATAAATCCCCTGGTTAGAAAGTAATACCTTCCTAAAAAAGCCATATGTATATTAGCGAACAATAATGTGATGAATAAATAAAATAACAATTGTGGTGAAAAATAATAAATACTAATTATTGCTAATAACAAAAGCAATGCAAGGCGTAGATTAATGTATGCAAAGTATACTAGGAATATATATGTGATGTTTGTGAAGAAATGTGATAATAGTGTGGAAACATGTTATTTGTTTATTCTGTGATTGACTTATTTGTATGAGATTTGTGTGTTTCTTTCCTTGTTCTACTTGTAATTGGCTCACTAAGGCCCCGTTTGATATGCGTCTGACCGAGTCAAGTCAGACGTTTTTGGCTGACTCGGTCAGCAAAATGTGTTTGATTATCAAACTTTGGCCATCTGACTCGGTAAGAAGTTGAGAAAGGAGTTGGGAGGAAGTTGAGAAAGGAGTTGGGAGGAGGCTGACTGAGAAAGAAAGTAAGACTTTACAATAATACCCTTGGCCTTGGATAAAAACAAGTGAAAGAGGAGGTTACAAGAATTGAACTCGGATCCCCCTTATAAATATAATGATGTTTACCAGCAAGCTAAAGGTTTTTTTGTGTTTTAATCTCTAAAATAATATATTTAATGTCTATTATGCTGGAAGTTTTTGTATACATTATTATTATTATTATTATTATTATTATTATTATTATTATTATAAAGAGCATCAGAGTAAAATGGTCATTTTGCATCAGTCAGTACATTCACTCAGATGTACAATCAAACAGCATAGTTTCTTACTCACTCAGAACTTCTTACTCAGACAGACCTTTCTCAATCAGCACTTTCTCAGTCAGCAACTATCAAACGACAGTTAAAAGTTGTTGTTGACACTTCATCTTGTTGTGTTTTTTCCATGTTATTAGGAGTGCGACTTTGTGAGGCGGGGAACTTTTTTGGGTAGGTTTGATTCTATTATGTTGATACCACTTGGAGACATCTTGCTGGTCATTATTGTGGTTTGATTAAACATACTTAAAACGTTTTTTTTTATTTGGGTTGTTTTGGTTTTAAACGTAATGTTATGATTGATTTGAAAATGTTTACTTTAAAGACTTATGTTTCAAATTTCCGTTAAAAGATGTTTTCAAATTAAAGAAATTTTTTTCGTGAAAATCACGGTATTACAAAAGGTACAATTGATTTTTTACAAATAAGTCAAACTATCAATACGTAAACTAAGGAAATTAAAAGAAAATAATTTAATCATGCAATGTTTACCCCAATTTAAGCCTACACTCTTTATTTTCTTCGCTCTATTGGCTCCTCCAACGATCTACTCCGTCTGCACTCCACATTGCTAAGAGGCAGCCGATCGATGACTTGTCCAAGTAACATTACTGTTTCGATTTGGAAAATAAATTGTGATTTTGCTATGTGATTGATTTTTATTGCGGTGCAAAAATTCTGAAACAATGGTAACTTAAAACTAAGCAGAAGTGATGAAATGCTTGAAGTCATGAAGAGCAAGTGGACAAGGTTTATGGAATGATAGGTCGGTCCAGATACATATTGGGCCTTAGGGCGAGAAGAAAATAAGGGCCCCGATTTCAAATAGGCAAATATAATAAAATTTTGAAAAAATATCATTTATAATAATAATCAATAATATAATCAAAACCAGAAATATAGTCATAATATTTTTAA